GAGATTTTGAAGGCCCTGTGCGAAATTAAATAAAAAGGCCCTAAATTATAAAAAAAATTACCTCCATATCAATGTTAAAGTTAAATCCTCTCTATTGATAATTAATTCAATTCTAATACGGAGTAATTAAATTTACATATTCAGAAACTACATTAAAATTTCTACAATGTTTCAAAATCCAAGTTAAAATTTAAATAAGAATTAATATCCCAATTAAGTGAATAAAAGTCAATTTTACAACTCAACTTGGGATCGATGAAATATTATATATAACACATGTAGTGAAAATAATACACTTAAAAATAAAAAAAGTAATTATAAAATGTAATGAAAAACTTATCTTGATTGCTATAAAAAAAATCATAATAAAAGAAATCCAATTTAATAAAAATTGATATAGATAACTATAAAGAAATCAGAACGTAACTTGCAAATTAAGTATATTCGGAGTACGGTAGTATAGTAATGTAATAGCAATAATACCGTAGTTAACTTACCAATAAGTATATATACAATTAATCGGATGTAATTTTTATTGATTTCGCTCAAGTATTTGTACTAATAATGTCCATCGTATTCCAAATAGATAACTCCGTATGTTGGGATGTATCTAGCTTCGTTCCCCATGTAACCTGAGTTCGATTCCCGCATGCCTCCATGTTTTTTATTATGCTAACTATTGCTTATTGGGCCCTGCGTGAACTTGGGTCCTTACTCTAACTATTGCCTATTGGGCCCTCCATGAACTTGGGCCCTGTGCGACCGCACTGCCTGCACAACGCCTGGGCCGGCCCTGAGAAGCACAACACAAAGGAATGTTTCAAAAGCATAACACAAATAACGATAAACTCCAAAACAGAAGGAAACAACACTAATGACATCAACATGAATGACATTGAAACCAACCTTAAACATTCATGTTTAACGTGACAATCAAATTAAAATATAAACAGAATAATAGTGTTCAATATTTTTGCAGGACGTCAGGCTAACTTATGGAGTTAGACTTGTCACCCGCTCAACAAGGGACAAAGTCGCCATGACTAATCCGAAGCGTCAATATCAACATGGACAAAATGACAATTTACAACATATGACACAACCAAATTCTCTTAGTCACATTCAATCAGAAACAACACGACAAAAGCATTTTATGAGACATATGACAAGTTGATATGAGCTTTCTGTCAAACAGAGATGACACGTTGATAGGCATGAGATGGATGACAGATTGAAAGGTGTATTTTGTTAGACGGACGACAGACCGATTGACATGATAATCAAGGATGTGAGGTACAAGTCCTTTCAAAAAAATTGAAAAGTTGCTACCCAACGGCTCAACATGTGCACCCGTATGATTCAACTTCTTGAATGGGGGCAATTGGTTGACCAAATATTTGACGGGTTGACTCTACATTTATGAGAATTGATCATGGAAGTTAATGAACATAATGTTGTCCATTAGGACATTTTTAGGCATTAATTTAATATGGTCATTAATGTAATTAAAGAGGGAGTTAATTAAGAATTGAACAATCTTTATGACAAAATCCTCAAACCATCATACAGTGACAGAATGATCAAGTCGTCACATTTATGAGCATTTATAGGAAACATTAATGAGAAGATTTTTAACGGACTGCCAATGCGGATGGAATGAATGATAACAACTGATTGTAATGGTGCCTAGTTTAATGCTTGACTAGTCGGACCCGACGAAACGGTTTGAACACAACTTACTATTGTATACAACTTTGAAACACCTCTAAACTTCTTAAATATATTATATTTTATCTATTCATTTGATCTTTGGCTATTTCTTTGATTCTTACACAATACCCGATTGATTTGTTGTTTCCGAATATAAAGTCATAATTTACGTAGTTACCTAACGAAAAGTAGCTTATACATGCGAAGCTCGTGCACCCTTTGACTCTATTGAGTAGGACTCGCATATATCAAAGCTCACCGGATGCTGGTGGAATGTTATGTATCCTAACTATTGTGTAGCCTTGTTTTTGAATCTTCCGCTTTTTGTGGTCTTGCATCCACACAAACTTGGTAGGAAAATCCACATTTGTCAAACTTCTTGCCTCATCATATTGTTTATTCGCTGCAAACCAACCTGTTAAGGTAGTGTGTTGATTTCCCCTTGTCTCCAGGATGGATTCTATGGGGTCACTTTCTCTATACATGACAGTTTGCTCATCCGGAAAATGGTAACATAGTCTTTCAATTGGTGGTGTCTTATAATGTATATAAAACGAGAGCATTCTCCATATCGCCACACGCTGATATGTACTGACAAAGTTGATATGCTCATCAACTTTGTCTATTTTGTTATCAGTTCGACTGTTTTCATATACAATGTACTTGTGACCATATCATGCCCTTTATTGACATACTTGAATAAGTATTTAACTGAACGTTACTGATTTCACCACTCAACGTTGACATGGGCACGAAAACTTTCGTAAGAGACTGAGATTGTGAGGCACTACAAATTTATTATCAGTGTGGAATGTGTTAGGATTAAACGCACACAACATGAAAAACAATAAGAAAGACACACGAGATTTGGTAACCCAGTTCGCCATGAATGACTACGTCTGGGGGCGCTACCAAGCCAGGATGTTACTATTATTTTCTGATAGTGATTACAAAGAGAGAACGTGTATTTATAGAGAGCAAAACCTAACCCCAACCATACAAGGACGCGCGGCCCATTTATAAAAGGACCCAAAAAATTTCAACGTAATGGGCTTGGTTATACCGTCTCTAACACCTTACAGAATGACTGCCTCTGTTTACCATTATGCCAATGTTCTTTCTCCTATACTCTGGATAGCCATCTTCATTAATGAGGGTTGTGAGCCTTAAACACCTTAGGTAATGTTTTGAGCACACACAAGCTATCATGTAAGGTGACATTTTGTTGAAATCTCTACAATGACTATGTATCATTAAACTTTTTACCGCGTCATGCAACTCTGCATCTTGGAAAGAATTAAGGAAAGAATCTCTACGAGTACTCTTTTCTCTTGCTTGGTGTGTGCTGGCCGCAGGAAGTGAGGGAGAGGGGTGAGGGGATGGTTCTTTTGTCTTAATAATTCAATGAGTGTGGATGGGAGGTCCACCTCATGTACCTTTATAATGAATATACATTCCCCAACTTAAATTTATAAGTCTCCGAAATCCAATTTCGGGCTTTTATCTGTTAAATTTCCAATACTGGTAATTGGGCATCAATTGACCAATCGGTCAACTCTGGGCCTTTCCATGGCCCAAATGAAATATACACCGCCATATAAATATTATCTAGACCAAGATGAATAAAATATATGGTCTCGGGAATATCGGGCGGTTCCCGCTCCCGGTGTGGGCCCCACGTGCAATTTATTATTCACGCCAAAAAATTAAAAGAAAAATTCACAACCTCGTAAATTCATTAACCATTCCATAAGGTTTAATACATTATTCACTTAAAGGTAAATATATTTGGGGACAGTGTTACAAGTCCTATTGGAAACATACCTATTTTTTCATTCCATTCTTACCCCCTCCTTAACTCCTTTAAATATGAGTAAAAGATAGTCAAAAGTCATAAGTAAATGTTTAATTCATAATAAATTCGAAAAAATTTCAAAAGTTCGTAGAAAAATCATTAAAAAATTAATAAAATACTTATAAAATAAAAAATTAAAACTAAATAAATAATAAAAAATATTAAAACTCCATATAAAAAATTAAAAAATATATGGATGCCTTTTCCACCGTCTGTACTACCTCCCTGCACCACCACCTCCAACCGGTGTAAAAAATGCCATTTTTTCTAAAAACTGCCTTTTTTTAAATGCCAAACAATGGCATATTTCTCTGTGAGAATGTCAACATTTTCATTGTTTTTTGCCATAAATATGGCATTCGTAATGACTTTGACATTTTTCCCCCAGGTGACTGGAGGTGGTGGTGCTGGGGCGGCAGAGGCGGCGGCGTTTTTTTTTTGCATTTTTTATTTTTATTTTTTCAATTTTTTTAAAATTATTATTATTTAAGGATAATTTTTATTCTTTATCCTTTTATTATGAATTAAAACATTTCAATAGATATAAGGGTATATTTGTCCAAGACACACATAATTAGTCCTGCGAAAACATAGTTTATTTTTTGGTCCTGTTTGTGCAAAGTGGGTGACTTTTAGTCCTATTTGATAATTAACCCTAGGGGTAAGGGGTGGGCAAAAATACTGAACTGACATGGTACCGAACCGGACCGGTATGGTACCGGACTGATAAACAGGGTTTGAAACGGATCTCAAAATCTTTTTTCCCGGACCGTACCGAATCCAAACAATGTCATGACCGGTTCTCATAAAATGAGAAGCGGTACCGGACTGAACCGGACCGAAGTTTAGTTTATTAAATTTGTACTACTATAGTTTATCTAAAATATATTAATTGCCTCATCCGTCTCAAATTGATTTGCAAAGCTAACATTTTTTTGTCAAAGTTAATGTTAAGTCCTCCCTAATGATAATTAATACAATTTTTAATAATTAAAATTTACATGTTTAGAAACCACATTAAAATCTCTCTAAAGTTGCAAAATCCAAATTAGAATATACGAAGTACAGAGTACTTTTTTTGAAAGGCCAAATTAGAATATAATTAAAAAGTGAAATCCTAATTAAGTGAATAAAAAAAAATTGTTTGACCAAAAAAAGTTTGACTTTGCAAATCAATTTGGAACGGAGATAGTATGAAATATGAAAAATGATAAATTGTGTGGATTTTTGGAGGATGGTTAAACTTTAATTTTTTCTTAAACACCTTGAAAAAGTGGCATTGTTTGGTATTAATATGACATGATACCGTCCGTTTGAAAATGGACCGTACCAAATGGGTTTGGGTCTAAGACTGAACTGTATCAAACTGTTTCAATAATAACGGTAGTGGTACAGGTTCCGCCAAATATTAGACTGGAGAGGAGCGTGCTCACCCCTAATTAACCCATAATCCTACTACACTTGAATCTCCCGCAGAACCCTAGTTAACCCCTCAATAGGAGCAGGAGTCTGGCTTTCAACCGGGCACACTGAAGTGGAAATGAAGCTGAGAGTATAGACCACAGCCGCAAACAGAGTACTTTCGAATGAAATGAAATGAAAGTGATGATGAATTGTAAATCCGCAGCACTATGGTCCCGCGTAATTCTCAACCAACTCCGACTAATCACTGCATCATCGTCATCAGCTGTGGGAACATCCAAGCTGCTGCGGCCATCATCGAAGTTTCCTGCAGCTCCACGATTCTTCTCATCGAGGCAGTCACAGGGAAACTTTGACAGTTTTCTGTTCCAGGAACGTAGGGATCTGCTCAAGGAGAAGGAGGAGAGGTTAAAGCAGGGATTGGACACTGCCGATCTCGATGCTCGTGCCGCAGAGCTCGACAAGCGCGAGGAGAATATCAAGAAATCTTCCTCTTCCTACGAAGAGCCCACGGACTCAGATTCGGATGATGACGATGAACAATGGGGCGCTGAAGCCCTGGATAGACGATGGGTTGTATTTGAGAAGAAGTTCGAGCGCCATGAACAGCTCCTTAAGAATTTCACTGATGCCGGTATGTACATAGCATAACACCCTTCTCTTATATATTGCTTCTGTTGTACTTCATGGAGATATCTTGAATTGACAGTTTGTCTAGCATAATGTTAAATCTTCCGTATTTCTCTTCACACGATTCCCTTCACACGTATTCCTCCTAGTACACTATTCCGAATATGGAAATCCCTCTGAAAACAAATACCCTTCAGTTTTTTTACAAGTGATTATGTTGCTTGAGTAGTTCATTAATGGGCTATGTGTCTTATGGATCACCATGCAATTGCTTTGATCAGAGACTCTCGATGAAGCACACAAATGGATGAGTAGAATCGATAAGTTTGAGCAGAAGCATTTCCCTCTTAAATCAGAGTACCGCGTGATTGGTGAGCTTATGAACCGCTTGAAAGTGGCTGAGGGTAAAGAAAAATTTTTACTCCAAGTGAAGATAAACCGGGCACTTAGGATGGTCAGATGGAAGGAAGCCTATGATCCGAATGATCCAGCCAATTATGGAGTCATTCAACGTCAAGTTGTTGGGTCCTCTGTTGATGCTTCTGAGCGAGTTGAGTTTGATGAGGAAGATAAGAAGGCTAAAGGAGCACAACATGATAGTGATGATGAGTTAGAGTTTGATGACATGAAAGAAAGGGATGATATATTGTTGGAGAAGCTTAATACTATTGATAAGAAGCTTGAAGCAAAGCTGGCAGAACTGGAACACACTTTTGGGAGGAAGGGAAAGCACCTCGAGGAGCAAATTAGAGATCTTGCTGATGAGAGGAACTCTTTGACTGAGAAGAAGAGACAGCCTCTCTACCGGAAAGTACGTTCTTTTCCAGTTTTCACATTCCATGCGTTTGCAAACCCTAAGCTGTTTGACTTAGGAAAAAAGATTGCTTAGTTGTTTTTGAATTCTTCTTCTGAGATTTTCCATTAGCTTCATCTTCATATTTAGTGATGTACCAATGTTTATGTGGTTCCATGATGTTATATATTTTTATTTTTAAGACTTCCATATCCAATTTGTAGGGATTTGATGTGAAACCAATTTGTGTCAATAAGACATACAAGGTTACAAAGGTAATGGCATCATTCTTTTTTTAATGTTGTCTCTTTTCTTGTGCCATTTTTGTCAATGATTCATTCTGAAATCACGCACAGGGGGGGAGAATCATGAGGTACACTGCTTTGCTAGCCTGTGGGAACTACAATGGTGTCATTGGTTTTGCGAAAGCAAAGGGTCCAGCAGCCCCTATTGCCATTCAAAAGGTGCACAAAATATTACCCAAGTATTATTCAGATGAAACAAGAAACCCAGTTAGTTCATGTGTGTTACCTCTCTCTCAATCTACTTGTTCTTTTATGTCAATCAGAGGTTCTGCTTATTTTCACGACATAACCTGATTTTAAATTTACATGAGTTGTCCTGTTTAAGTCTGGTAAAATAACAATTTTGAATCTCAGATATATCTGCACAAGAGTATAGATTGGAATTTTGCACAGCCATACCACTCTAGTGCAAGATTATTTCATTGATAAACAGTTTCAATTTAGTCAAGTTTACAATCAGTCATTTAGAGGACACTGGTTTAGAATACTTGTATTTCTGTGCTTTTAGCAGAGAGCCATGACACTACAACAATTATGCATTTTGTTTGGAGAGAAAAAATAATCACAATTACATGAGCTGTTACAAACTAAGCAAGTAAAAAATGATTGCACAGTTGGTTGAGCAAAGAGCCAAGGGTAACTAAGACAAGTCACTCACAAGTGGTGAGGTTGAGAATACCAAGAAGAAATTTCCTTTTCTGCTGAATTTCATTGACAACTGGTCTTCATTCACTTGAATACAAATATCTAATAAACAACCCTTTTGAAAAAATTATTTATGTAACTGAATGTAGAAGTATAAATTATAATATTATGCCAAATTCAGTCAATCAATTGCTTAACAGGATTATTATGTAACAGGCATATGAGAAATGCTTTCAGAATCTCCATTATATTGAGCGGCATGAAGAACATACCATTGCACATGCAGTCCAAACAAGTTATAAAAACACTAAGGTGCAGGGTTCTCCTGTTCTTGTTCCAAATTCCAATTCAATTAGACATTAGGTGTATAAGCTGAATGCTTAAGGTGTGTCTTCTCGCTTTGGTGTTTTTATCTTTGAAAATCTTTTTGGTGTTGGATTTTCTTCAGATCTATCTCTGGCCTGCACCCACTCAAACAGGAATGAAAGCAGGCAGAACTGTTCAAACAATTCTAAATTTGGCTGGTTTCAAGAATGTGAAATCAAAGGTTTTTAAAAGCTTTACTCTACCACTCAATTCAACATTGTTAAATAGTTGTTCTGACATATATCTGCTTTTAGGTTGTTGGATCAAGGAATCCTCATAATACAGTTAAGGCCATATTTAAAGCTCTAAATGCAGTAAGTTAAATGCTCACTTTATAAAAAACTATAAGTTGGACACTATCACAATCTTCAGTTTTCTCCCCATTCTCTTACCAAGTTTCACATTTCCAGATTGAGACACCAAAAGACGTCCAAGAGAAGTTCGGTCGTACTGTTGTTGAGTCATACCTGCTACAATAGGTATGGTTGAAGTTGTCTTTCATTAATTATTATTGATGCGGCAGTCTTTGTGATGAAGATGCTTAAGATATGTACCAAACAAATAACAAAAGTATGGTTTTTTTATACTGCTATGTTGTAGTAAAAAAGCTAAGAAACAGTCCCCTTTCCAACCTATTTACCAATATTAATCCCTTGTTTTTATTTTCGGTAGTGTTCATTCATCATGCTTTGTACTGCACGATAACCTTACTTCTGACCATTGTAAATACAAAGCCGGTTTGGTAAGGGGGAAATTTAGCTAGTTTCTGAAATTGTGATTGAATTAGCTGAATGAGCAGTTTCAGCAAATAATGCAACTCCTGAACTGCTCCTTTCTACTCCTGGGCAATAATGTTGTCAAATAAGCTATTGTGTTCTACGAAGCTAATAAGCAAAAAAAATCTTCTGCCAAGCCGGCACATAATGTTTCCTTGCACAATATAGTGAATATTGTAGTACTCTTAGTGCTTCAGTTGCACCGCATGATGAAGTTTATGTGCTTTGGTAGGCATTGCAGAAAAACTGATACTTGCATGCTCCAAAGGTGATGCATGCAGAACTACTGCATTCTTCATGAATCACGAGCATACATGTCCTCCATCTAATTTATACGTAGTATTTTCTTTTGCTTTTTGGAGTTGTAATTTCTTAAAATGGGGGTTGTAGCATGTAGGTTACTTCAATTGACTATTTGAGAATTGAGAATTTGTGGAAATGTATTTATTTTTTCCCAAATCCTATATTTAATTGGTAGTAAACATTATGGCACATTGACACATGTTTATTTGTAATTCATTGTTGGCGATCTAGAGAAAGTAAAACATGTAGTGCTAATAATCTGAAGATGTTACTACAATCTAAACTCTAAAGATGTTACGAATGCTAATGTGGTCTATTGCTTCTTGTAATTGTTGTATTATTCTTGCACCCATAACAACAAAACATTAGGGGTGGGATCGGTCCGGTCTGGGTCGGGTTTTTGCTAAACCCGAAAATTACTCGGAAGGTCTCGGGTAATGAAAATTAGGGACCGAAACAAAGCCAATTATATTCGGTCCGGGTTCGGGTTGGGCTGGTTAAAGCCCGAACATGAAGGATTTCATTGTCCTTTTATATTTTAACACCTATTTTCAAATAAAATTAATCAAAAATACAAATCGCAAATAATAACACAAATATTAGTCTCCAAAATCACCAACAATTCAAATCCAAAGATAATTATCTTAATATTTTATTTAAGATGCATATAAATAAATAATATAGGTTTCTTAAATATATTATGAAGTAAAATTTGTAGCTAAAAATGTGACTAGAGTTGCTATAAATATATTTTCATGGTCATTACGCTAAACACATTCAACATATTTGTAGTCACTAAAAGTTACTAAATCATTTTCTATCCACCGTGATTATAATCATATATTAGGAAGTATTTATAAATTTATATTCATATATTTTATTAATTTTATATTAAAGCTAATCGTTTCGGGTTTTTTCGGTCCGGACCGGGTTATAGATTTTAAGGCCCGTTAATGAGCCGGAATTTCGGGTTCGGTTCGGGTTATTTTTAATTTGGGCCGGTTAAAAAGAAGCCCGGACTGGAATCATAATTCGGGTCGGTCCAGGGTCGGTTTCCGGGTTTCGGTTCGGTTTTTCCCACCCCTACAAAACATGGTCCAGTGTCACTCCAGTCTATTCACGTGTCTCTGTTCGAGCTCTAAAAAAGTTTTTAGTTTTCTGGCGTATAATGTTTGAAGCAAGGTTGAAGTTGGTATTTTATAAAGTTATTATTAGACATTTTCTACAGTAAATAAAAACAGGCTTCACTATATTCATACTTTCCAAGTAATTCTGTAATTTACGAATTACATTGATCATCGTGTATTCGTGTAGATCATTTTTTGTACAAAATCCGTGCATCATGAGGAATTTCTACTCTTATGACAAACACGAAAGTAAAGGGAGTATAGCTAATGAGGTGTAAAGTCTATTACGCTTCCGCCCATAAGATTGTCACATTTTACCTTTTCGAGAAATCGCACTAAAATTGTTTCATACCAAATTTGAGGTGTAGAGTGTATTAATTTATTCCTACTTTATCAATTCAATATTAATCACGTAAATCCATTACCTTAATATTCGTGCCACATTCTCTTGTCTCAATGTTAGTGGGATGGAGGTAGGCCTGGACTCGGGCCGGTTCGGGCCCGGTTCGGGCCTGTGCTCGGCCGGGCCTCGGTTCATGTAACCCCCGAGTCTGGGTCGGTCCGGGCCACGGTTCAATTAATTTTTTTTGGCTTTTCCTAATTAACCCCCAACCCTCCCCCCTCACCCTCAAACCATCTCAAATGGCCCAAAATACCCAGCCCAACCCAAAAACTTAAAAAAAAAAAAAAAAAAAAAAAAATTGGCCCGGACCGGGCCCGGACCGGCCGGGCCGGTTCACCTTTTGAGGGGCCCGAGCCCGGACCGGAACCCCAGCGGGTCGGGCCTACCCGGACCGGTCCCTGGCCGGGCCGGCGGTTTGGGCCGATTCAAACAGTGACCGGTTCGGGCCGGTTCCGGGGCAGGCCGCCCGGCCCGAGTCCAACCCTGGATGGAGGTAGTAATACATTACTTCAGACGACTTTGATCATTCAGACGACTCTTTCTTTTCAGGCGATTTTTTAGGACATGCAACCGAAAGTTATCGTCGCCCCCCTATATCGAACCAGGAGGTCCAAGAAGAAATTAAGAATTCCAAGGTCAATAGATTGATTTGCCGTAAATCAGAGTTGGTCACCTTAGAAAACTACATGCCAACAGAAAATCTAAACACACAACTCAAAATCTACATGAAATCTCAAAAGAATAAAAGACGTCACAATATGAGGATCAGATCACAGTCCAAAGATTATTTCCATTGGGTCTAGTTTTTATATTTATGTATTTTTCCTCTTTCTTTTGTACGAAGTACTTTTTTTCTATCTTCTTGAATTGTAATTTTTACTTTATTTTATGAATAAAATCGTTTTTCTTTTTAAAAGAAAGTGACATTGGACGGACCGAAAAGTTAAAATGAGACAATTTTAGCGGGATGGAGGGAGTACTAATTATTACATATTTTATGTGAAACTACTTGTTTTTATATTACACAATTCAGTGTGATATTAAAAATTACATTTTTTGTGAAAAAAAAAATAATTGATAATACCAATAAGCGAAAAATAGAGTTGCCAAATGACTTTAAAATCAATCATTTGGGCACACATATTTTAAGAAAAAGGTCACATAAATTCATTTTCTTAGAAACAAACCATTTAGTCAAATGGTCTGAAAATGAACGTTTTTATTGTGGTTTTCGTTGTTTTCTACGAGTATATGTTTATAAGTTCATCTTTTACCATTTGTACTCTCTTCTTTTTCATTCATTTTCTCCTTTTCCTTATTTTTCTATTCGTCTTCTCCCCTATCTCATTTGCATCTCTTTTTCTCTCTCCATTTTTGCTTCTTGCGCTTGAGTAAATCAAATTGAAACACTGAACTTTGAGAGATTTATTCCTTAGTTGTATTATCGTATATCGATCAGTTTGCTTTCGTTATTATGCATTGTAGGTTACAAATTCGTGTTTTTAATCCGTATAATTTAATTAGTTCTCAATATTTACTTGATAATCATTTTTTAACTTTAATGAACCAATGTTTTGATTTTGTGCCAAAGGAAAAAGCGTGTTTTTCTATGAATCATTATAATTTATAACAAAAGTTCTTATGCTAAAAGTACTATTTAACTCCTTTAAACTACAGTGTCACTTATTCAACTTCTCTTTTAAGTACATTTATTCATGTGATGTGACTTATGTGGTACAAATTTTAGAGGGCTTTTCAAAAATATTATTAATAAAAAATTAATGGATAAAAATTTGAATATAAAGTTATTATGTGTAAGTTTCATAGTCACTATGATGTAACATATAAATACAATTATAATCACTAAAATTATCAAAATTGCATTTTTTTTTCACTGCTTTTTATTTTGATTATATATTTGGAATTACTTCTTAATCTTATTAGCATGCATTATCATTGATATAAAAAATATGTCTCCAACATAATCCAAATACTACAAGTTCTACAAGTGATTGTAGGTAAGAGAATTTTCAAAGTGGGTATTAGATATGTGAAATGAAAAACATTAGAGTGAATATAATAGTCTCTTATGGTATGACAAAACAATAATTCTCAAGATCAGTTGTTACACAAGATTGAAGTATATTTATTGAGACCAGCTTTTAGTTATGGTCCATGGGGCAACTATTTATGGCGTTGTTGAGAGTTCAAAGCAAATGTGATTTAAAAACTCTTGATTCATGATAAGGATGATAAATAGTTACATTGCCACCAAAAAGGTTTTCCAAAAACCTCTTACAAGTTAGTTTCATAGCTTCATTCGCCTTTGCTAATAATATTCATTTATATGTATATGTTCAAATTAATCATGTAAATTACTTTTATCTAATCATCTTTTGAATTCATATATGGGGTAATTTGAGTTTGCATCCCATTTTATTGTGCAAATTGAATTTTGCATCCCGTTTTTAAAAAACTTTGTTTGTGCACCCCAACCCCATATGAAAAGACAAAAATGCCCTTCATTAACAATTTTGTTGGCGGGGTGGACTGGTGGTGACACATGGTCGTGTCCTAAATGCTAAGTGAGTCAGTTTCAATTCTAAAACAATGAGAGTCCCTCATGTAGGGAGAGTCCCCCAGCTATACGCATGCTACATGGAGATGGTTGGTTGTTGCTGGGAGGAGCCCTTGTATTAAGATGAGGCGGGGACGAGGAGCGTGGTGGATGAGGTGTCATGGGTGGTCCCCACTTCCCATCCATCGGTGACCCTTGGGTGCTCATTTGTTGTTGTAACATAGACGAGGTGTGTCATGTGTGTGACCGGCTGACCGTGATTGTTTGGGCCGAGTCAGAGTCTTCTCTTGAGGATGTAGATTATGGGTCCATGATCATATACTTTATCAAGAGTCTTTCACTCCCTATACAACAATAACAAAAACGTTCAAGTCTTGTTCCCAAAAGATTTTGGGGTCGACTTACATGACTCGGTTCATAAAAGAGAAGAAAAATAAGAAAATTAAAAAGATAAACTAAGATAAAATGTATAAGATAAAGATAAATATAAAATTAAAATAATATTAGAACAAAAGAAAGATAACACATAAAAAGACAAAAGAGCATACGAAAGATTAAAGATAAAAATAACATAAGAACATGCACAGATAAAATATATATAGAAAAAGAGAGAGATGAGAGATAAAAGAGATCAATCGTCCACATTAATATGCGTTCTCCACTTTGCCCTCTCCAAAGCCACACTCTCATTCAACCCAAGAAGAAGCATACCTGTTTTGATTCCTCTAATCCGGGTCGAATCAGATTGTCGAAAGTGTTTGAGGTGAAAGGGAGTAGCTCATCCCTTGATCTTGATTGTCACCAACTTGTTTTAGTGCGGATCCCCTCTATTGAAAGAGTAGTATGTGTAACTGTATCTGGAGTGTTAGAATGCCTCAGCCAACCACATGTTTCCTTAGTAAAGCCCTTGGCTAGGGCAATCTTATGGGAGAAAACCCTAGCCGAAACATGACAAATTGACAATTGTAGTATGAATCCCTTCTACTTATGGAAAGTAGTCAACTGCTTGTCTGCTTTGAACACACACATGTGTGCACGGATCGGACATAATCTATTATAATCTAATAGCAAAATGATTTTGGGGGTGAGATTCCCGCTCAGAAATGTCACTGTCATTGTTGAGTCAATTAGTTGATCAATATTAACACTAAAAAAAATAAAATATAGGGAAAGATTTCCTGAAATC